CACAATTCTTTTAGCTAGAAGCATCTGTCGGGAAGAACGTGTCACTGGCGAAAAAAACCTGCGGGGGAACTGTGCAAAAACGCACCTTCGTACCGGCAGCCGGTACGCTTTCGACTAAGTTTGGTCTTAATGAGTCAAGGTTTTATACGATCATTTATGCGATTCAGCATCAGTATTTTCTATGGTTGACAAGTGACATCCTCGGAAAATTAACGAACATTAGGACGGTCTCTGCGGAAGTGGTGTAGCCACATCGAACAGGCAGTAGGGACTGGCTGGAGAAATGCAGCTCGGAACTGAAGGACCTGAAACAACTGAGCCCTGTAACATCACTAATATGGTTGTTCCTACACCGATTATCAGTGGATACCATCGTAATGTAGTCATATGCTGCCCGTAGTTATGCTGTTTTGAGCTCATTTGCCTTCTTCGCAGCATACGTGTGCCGTCTATCTGGAATCATCTGAATAATTTACTGTAATAAGGTACCTACTCGGGTAATTTGATCATCTGCTGTTTCATCATTGCGCTTTTTTCTCGCTATCAATGCATCAATTGATAACTCTTCCATTATTTGTTGTGAGCTTCTTTCATCTACGTAGTTTCATGTAGTACAACACAATATCCACTAATGGCTATTTACAGTGGCTCTTACGGTTTTACGGGTTGTGTGCGGCAAATACTCATTGACGGGCAACTGAAAGCAGTCGAATCAAATTTACAAAGTGACTGTGAAAATAAATGCGATACACATGCATGTCAGCAAGAAAGTCGATGCATCGAGGAATTCACTCTCGGAACCGTCATTTGCGTATGCAAAAACGAAATTTTGCATTCTGGAGATTTGTGTCAGAATAGTAAGTTTCACAACAGGTTTTCCAAAAAAAAACAACTAAATTTTAGCAGCATTAAAAAAGGCTAGCAGAAATTTCTGTCATAGAAAGATCTATCAAAAAATAGGAAGTGACGGAACAACAAGATGGAAATCAAGATCGCCAGCAGATCAACATGCAGTGGCCAGAACAACTGAGGAAATTAGCAGACGCATGGCAGAACAAGCTCATAAATCACAGTTGATCCAGTTAACAAGAATTTTTCTAAAAAATCTACGTGTTTTCATATAAAGGCTGAGGATCTCCACTTTTTATTCTGGAATTAGATAAGACCACTCTCCAGGTCACAGGGCGATTAATGCCAGAGTATATGCTTGGATAGAAATTTGTCCAGAAGTCAACTGGAAACTTTCACTTGCTTCATTTCCTGTGGGACACACAAGCAATCAATAGTAGGTCCCGTAATGATACTTGGTGAATTATATAAGTTTGAGAGTGTGACCTCCTCCTCCCTTCGATAAGCCATTAAATCGGTTAAAAGGGATGAAAAAATATCAGAAGTTTTCGCGGAAATTTATGTTGAATTCCGTGACTGATATTTTCCCAAAAGCAAATTTTCAAGCACTGAAAATTCAAAACAGTTCGATTTCCTTATTTCTACCAGTAATAATTTGCCTGTGGTAAAGGTATGCTATGCAAGGATAAGTTATATTAGAGACAAATCTAAAGCAACAACTCAAGCCCAAAAGTTGACATCGCATGGCAGCACACTTAGAATAACAAAATTTTTGTAGCACACTATAAAAAAACAAATGTTCACCTCTTCTTTTGCACGAAACTGAGACTTCCCGCAAACTAAGACACGAAATTCATTTCCTATATAATAACAGTACTCCCAGGTATCAACTACGGCACCGAAGTTAGTTTCCACGATGCGAAGCGAGCATTCTTGAAAATCCAGAATCCAGCGATTGAAAATGCTATGATGCAACGAATTTTATTCAGTTTTCGTACAGATCGACGTGATGCTCTGCTTTTTTATCTACACGATCAACTTTATAACTTCGTCCAAGTGAGCAAAAAATTACCTTTTTTGAAGTAGTTTTCTTCGCAAGACTCCGTGAATTGCCTTTGTGCCGGAAACTTGCCGAATTTCAAGAACTCCATTTGAAAAAAATTTTATTCGAAAAATTACAAAATTTTTGTTCGGACCAGAAATATGCCAATTCGCTACTCCGGAGTTTGTTTTTCAGTGGATTTTATCTTTTGAATAAACTCAGTGATCCACCGCTGCATTGGGGATTACACTGATTTTACTTGCATTTCGACATATTTATACCTATTTCTGCCTAATTGCTTTTTTGTTCTTTATACCAAACGTCGAGTACTTTAAGTAGTGCTGCTAGAAACCAGTCCAATTTTGGTAGATATAATCAGCCGAAATACTGCATTTTTCTAACAGATATAAATTGATAATTCGGTGAATCCTGATGATTTCGGGAAAAATTAGTCTACCTCCTTTCAGATTCCATGTTTCCATAGCCGTGCGCCTTAAGGCCAGAATAATTACAGGTTCATCTATCCGAACACTGCCGCGTGATTCTTACACTGAACTTCAATCGAACTGTACGTCGATGTGAAGTTGTTGCAAAAGTTGGTCATGGCAAGTGCAAATTTTTTCAAATTTACTCGACCATTTTTAAAATAGGAGTTGAAATTAAAAAACTACATGAATTTAAAAACGGAATACACCAGCTTTTGCAAATTTCAGTTATAATTCCAATCATTTAAAATTCACGGAAGAGCAATTTACAATTTTGTTGTTTCTCATTTTCAAATTAACTTTTTCATCAGATTTCTCGATCAACCAAATTCAGATTTTCAGATTCGATTTATCATCAACTATTTCAGATTAAGATTTTTTCGAATTCGATTCGTTGCGGGTTTAGATTTAAATTTCAGATTCTATGGAATTTTTTCGAATTCTCTCAAAAGTTATTTTTTTAAAACTTTTGTCATTTTTCTTGAAGATCGTCACCCTGAATCCTTTTAGAATTCAGTCGAATGCAGTGGATTCAAGTCATGATATTCCAGTGGCCCGATCGAATTGAGTTGAACGTGGATGATGAGATTTGTCAGATCACCGGCCATAGAATTCTTTCACCCGAATTCATCAAGAAATTTGATATTTCATCGGACATTGATGGTTAGCCATTTCTGGGTTCTGAAACATGTGGATGGGAAAATTTCAATTAGATATAACAAGCTGAACTAACCTGAATCTGACAGGACTTGATGCGGCTGGAAAATTCTATTTCGCTAAAGCTCTCTGAATAACGGAAGGAATTTTTTGTTAACGGCGAAATATTTCAAGCGCTTTTTTTCGATGGACGAAATTAAGCCATTGCCGAAAACCCACGACCGTTGCAAAAAGAGATCAAATATGAGCTTAAAAGTGCGAAGAATTCAGATTTATAGACGTAAAAATATGTGGACGAAAGACCTGTATTAAGCTCTTTTTAGTATTAGACTTCGAAAGCACTTTGTTGAGCACGTGTAAAGCTATATCAATAATGGAAAGCAGGACGCTAATGAACAATGCTCTGAGCATACTTTTCTAAGGAAAGATGGAATATCAAGAACACATATTTAACTAATGAGATATCCTACGTCTGCATAAATAATTTTCAGATGTTGTTGAGCCTCCGGTCTCACCATTAGGAGTGGAAAATTCTGAACAAACGCGTGACTACGTTCTGGTTTTTGCCGGTGGAGTACCGACAGCAAATTACTTCGGCAGTTTGGATCCTATCTATCAGAGCAATGTACCGAATTTACTTGGTTGTCTACGTGGGTTGATGCTTGGAACGCAGTTACTTGATATGCGTAACAGATCCTTTTGGTCACATTATCAAACCGAAACAGGTAAGTTGCCAGAAAGCTATTAATATTGAAATGCCTCGCCCTGGAGCAATCTCTTCATGAATTCCGTTGCATTAACTGCTATAAACTGCAGTTTATGTGGTGTCAATTTGTAGTAGACTCATATTTTTCTCCTCGTCCCTCAAGCCTCTTTTTGCTTTTTATATGGGGCGTATGACTTGGAAGATCAAGTGATGTCGTCCGATAAATAACTGCTGGATGAGGTGACTTGCACGCCAGTAATTGCTATTGACAAAACTGACAACATCCGAGGCAGAACCAATAAAAAAGCAAACAAAGCCATGAGGGAAGAGGAGGCAAAACTTCAAAGTTCAAAAGTTCAAAGATACGTCTCATCTCGAAGTAGTGAAAAATAGAGAAATTTAAAAGTTTTAATTTAGAGTTTTAAAAATGGATTTCTTATTTTTATTGGGAAAACGAGCAGTAACAGCATTTCTTATACTTCCTGAAGTAAGATAAGTTACTGGAATGAGTCGTCTGAAAATGTTTTTGAAATCCCGGTCAATCTCTGAAAAGAGCTCCTAACCAACTTTTAAGCGTTCTGCTGTGTAACAGCTGCACAAAACGCTTATTGTTAGGCCTCTGCATGTGTGTGTGGGTGCATTTTGTCTCTCTTTTCAACTCCGAAGCCAGAAAAGCCAAGAAGTTGAAATTTTACAGGAATATCTCCTACTCACTTGTGATATGCAAGCTTAAATTCAGTCCTCGCGTGCGCCTATGTCCCAAGTACGGTCACATGAAAGTTTTGGCGCCAAAATACTAACTCGGGGACCACAAAAGCTTGGAAGCTGAAATTTTAGGTAATATTCCAAACCCATGTAAGTTACCAAAAATTAAAATTCAAGCTCCACTTTGCCTAAGCCTCATTTACGGACTTTTGGAATTTTTGGTGCGAAATTTTGTCACGGGAACCAGCAAAACGGAAAGCTAAAAATTCAGAATTATGCTTTCTCCAAGTATATAATCCTGGGACTCCAAATTTAGCTTTCAATTACACTTATTTTTCGCGTACAAAGACACGCGAAGTTGTGCGTAGAGAATTTTTAGTTTGGAAACTAGACAAAACGATAAGCCAACATTGTTTGTGGATACCTTCCATTCATGTGCGAACCTACAAATTCAAATCTAGCTCTCATGAACGCCTATGCTTCACGCTTGGGCACGTGGCTTTTTATATTTTTGATCAAATTAAGCAGTATATTAATCAATACTCCTAAAACGACTGGACAGAACAGCGCAAAACGCATGATAGCATCGGCTACCCTGATGCGTGCCGCTATTTTGGAATTTTTCTGGGCGCTTGAAAATTTGACTTTTTTGCATTATTTTGAATGTTTCGTAGAAGCTGTTTCAGATATGATTATTGCTGGATGTGAAACAGGCTGCCATAAGATTGAAAATCTGTGCAAAAATGGTGGTCATTGCGCAGTGCAGTGGACAAAAAGTTATATTATAGATGAGGCCAGTTGCAACTGTGCCCGAACTTCGTATTATGGCGAATTTTGCGATCAAGGTCAAATATCAAAAACCCTATTTTCAAAAATCCTTCATTGCGCAAATATTATACCATATTTTTCCGTTAATATATTACATAGACTACATAAAAGTTTCTCATTCCCTTTCAGTTTTCAAATTTTTAAACTATAGAAGCTGGTGAGCTTGACATGCATCTCCCCCAAGGCTTTAGCCGTTGGTCAAACTTTATTGCTCGAAAAAATTTTCCGATTTTCAATTCGTTGCATTCGTTGCGCAGTAAAATCGGTGCTTAAAAGCTCGCCAACCGAAAACCTGAAAACTGAAAGGAAATAAGAGGCTTTTATATAACTACTGAGTCTGTATTAGCTTGGAAACTATTCTTGCCCATTTTTGAACTGACTTTGAACTGGCAGTTTCGCTATCAGATGATCGCTGTTGGCAGAGTTCTGTGAGTCAGATTACTTCCGAAAATTTCCCTTTAATTTGTTTAATAAAACACAGAAAGGAGCATAATTTAAAACAAAAAAGTGATATTTAGAGAACAAAGCGGCGATTGTGCGGCAAACGGATTTCTTTGCCGATTTTTCGCAAAAAAATAGTTCCAGCAAATTTTTTCATTTTTTAAAATATGTCGGTCTCTTGCTAAGAATAAATAGCCAGGGAATTTTGACTTTCAATTTGTTTAAAAGTGATATGTTTGAATAGAAATTCGAAATTTTTAATCCGGATTCATAGGTTTGAAATGAATAAAATCCGGAGCTTTCTAGATAGTGGTGCTTACTTTATGGGCAAAACATTGCTAGTATTTAATGCTGGTGAAATTTTCGAAAAAGTAATATATGATTGGAGCCAGATTGGCGAGCATACTTTCAATTTTGCATTTTCCACTACCGCAGATTGGGATATTTCAAAGTCACAGGTTCTGGCCACTGTACATTTTGAATTCAACAGGTAACTTTGAAAACTAGTCGTTTTTATACTTTAGTACACCCTAATACAGGCAGAAGTTAGCCTATCTTTAGTTTTTTTTTCAGACCACCCTAGCCGGGAAACCTATAATTATGATTCATTACTTTTTAATCATTCTGGCCACTTTTGAATGTCTCTGCCTGTTACAGAAAATAATTGGCCAGTGCATGGACTGCCCGTGCGAAGATGCGTTTTTTGCATAGTTCCCCGCAAGTTTTGTCGCAACCGGCAGCGGTTTTTCCGGCAAATGCTTTTAGCTAAACCCGTTGCTACTCCATATAAGCACATGTTAAAATCCCTAATATCTTCAAATTAACTTAACAGCTAGTTGTTGAGAAATTTTCTTGAACAACACTAATAATTCTACCTTAACTCAATAAACATAAATATTGACGCAGATGCTTAGCTAGGTTTAAAAAGATACAACGTCTTTCCCTCTACTTTCTGGTAATTGCCAGAACCTTATGCGCAGTTTCATTGACTCTTTCAAATTAAATGTAATTTTCACACCTAGATGAGGTGGTATTGGAGTCAAATTTCGGGGCTTTCAGGGCTTTTGAGAGATTTTATACTTCGCACTTCTTTTGTAATGGTAACTGTTTTTTATGCAGGATAATGGAAATTGTTCTGTGCAAAAATGGCTCACTGAATGTTGGAATAACGTCCACAGATACCTCGTACGTTTTTACGTTCCCATACAACTACAATGATGGTTACCGACACTTTTTCCAGTCGACGTTTCGCAGCCGAAAACCACTGAAAATTGCGGTATTTAATTTCTTGAACTTATCTGTAGTTTAATATTGAGAAATTGCTAAGTGGTGAATGTGCTACTATCAAGGAGCTCTCTCAACTTACTCAAATATTAAAAGACATCTTCGAGGGCACAGTTAACCCAAAGGATAGATTTAACCCATTTATTTAAAAATTAACAGGATAATCGAGACTGCCAAGATCGCTTAAGTAGTCATTATGAATATCTCATGTGTGTGATGTTACAAGCCGAGAGCATCTGTTCCAAGCCGCTTAATCCTAGGCTGCATACTTCCAGCTAATATTCACCGTTTATTAAATGTACTTCCCATACTTCGAGATTCGTGCACGTGATCGTTTACTTTCACGCGCGTACTACACACCGGTGCGCGATGTACACCAACTGTCAAGTCGAGCGAAAAGCACGCCCTGACCACTGAATTTTACTCTCTGTTCTGAGTGTTATCCTATTCTGCATGTTACTCATTTGACAAAATGACATGGAAGTTAACCAACCAACCGCCATTATAGAAACACTTTTTTTGTTGTAAAAGCGCTTAAATGATAAAAAAGTGTTCACCTTCCTGGAAACTTGAAGTTACCCACTTCCAAAATCACTCGAAAATTTTCCAAGCGTCAGACGCAAGAGGAAGAAATCTTGATTTTGCTCTTCTGGAAGCACCGTTCGGGACTGTATATCTAAAGCTACAGATTCGTAACTTCCCTAATAATGCATATGCATTTCCCTGGCAGACAAATAAACACACGTGTACACGCACTTATAGAGATGCGTCTTACATAATCCTCTATAAGATTTGTGAAAAAAACGCATGAACAGTAATATATTTTGATGATTTCGTTAATATTTTAGATAGATTCGTGGGAGCATGTTTTTCCAAATGAAATAGTCACAGGCCTATCGCTTGCGTTTGCGACTAAATTTATCTTCGGTGGCCCGGTGATGGCCTACGATTTCGAACAGGAACCAGTTAGTAAGAAGATGACACATCACAATTATACTGGCTGTCTGTCCAGTGAGTTTGACAGAGATTTTAATTCAAAATGCTTTCATGCATTTTATGTATTTCCATGCGTTTTTATACTATTGATGAAATGCAATCCAGGCAGCTTTGTACCAAGCTTGCCGGTGCGATAATGCGTTTTTGCACAATTCCACCTTGTAAAGAGATTGCTTTACTGGGGGTATGATTACAGTTTTACGAGGCTACGGTTTACAGTAAGAAAATTTGATGCGCTTTTAAGCAGAGTTCATGCCTAGGCAGCAGACCGCCCACCGCTTGGTGTCTCAAAAATCAATAGCAACAATCTTCAGAATAAAATGCTGCTTTTTGCACAGTCTGACTACCAAGTTAACAGGGTGCTAACAGTGCCCCAAACTAAATATTCACTTGCGTTAATGCGAACACAGGCGTGCTTTAAAGCTAAATTTTAAATACTCAGGGCTTTTCGTTGCAGATATCGTTGACGTATCCGAACGCGCGACGTGAAAATGTAAAGTTTATAGAGTAAAGTTTACAATTCCAAAGAATCTAAAATTTGTTTTAAAAAAAGCTGGATTAACAATATTCATACATGATATTCAGATATTGAAATTGATATGAACGTCGCACGAATGCATTTCAAGCCGATCCTGTATCTGCGAAAACCAACCTTGGAATTTGCTCAGTCAGCATTTATCGTTGGTGATACTCCACAGTTCGGAGCTTGTAATGCTTTTTTGATACCAGGAAGCATACCATGTAAGTGCTCAGCAGCCTGAAATCCCTCGTTCAAAAGCCATTTCAGAAATTAGGCCTACGTGTGTGGCAGCTCTTTACACGCAGCTGGAAAAATTTTCCAAGGAAGCAACATGGTGCTGTCAACCTGCTGATAATCTTGGCATTAGTACTCTGTCAGATTTTGTTCTAGTAGAGGGATCTACTGGACGTTTTGATAACAAAGCGATATGAATCAAGTTCTGGACTATTTTTTACTCTGATTCTTATCTTTAAATTTTTTTCAGCCTTTTTGGATCTTTCGACCCTAATTTTTTGAAAATCTTCAATTTTTTGTATTTTTTTGAAGCGCACTGGCATAGCTGCACAAGCACGTGTTGGTAATCCGGTAACATTATTAACACGGAATAAACATACTGAGAGTCGGAGGCCATTATGCCCTTCCCAGATTTGGCAAGTTTTATTCCGAATGTTATTTTGCTCATCATAATTATATTAATAAAATTTCAGCCGCAGTAAATTTGGTCAGTTCACCAGTATGGGATTCTCCATTTATTGTTGAACCTTATATGCGTCCAACAAGTGATGAGAATCTTATAGAACATCCTCAAAGCTCTTCAAAACGTAAATATTTTTTGGTCCTTATCTATTACTTTGAAAAGTTTTTTGTTCTTTTTTTTGTTCAGAAATGTTTGGATGTAAGCCAATTCTAAAAAAGAACCCTTCACACTTTTACGTTACCAGTGCATTTGGTAACAAGTCATTCACTGAACTTTCAAAATAGGCCTTCAAGCAGATCAGACAATATCAATGCTCAACAATCCAGCACTCTATCAACATCCGGTGGCATCATTAAACGTTTAGCTTTGTCTGTTTGTTGTCTCTCACCGTCGTTACAAGGCAAGCAGCAACGGTCAGAATTTCCTCTACCAGAGACGAGAGCACTCAGAAGTAGCCAGAGAGGTAGTTTATCGCCAAAATCAGCAATCTATCTGCAAGGCTGCCGATGATCCCATCTTCCGAAGACTGCTCAGAGGCAAGCTGATAATAGCAAAGTTCACCTACAACAAGTCAGTAATCAATTTACCATCGAAATGAATCAGGATGCGGTGGAACTGCCAACATCAGCCCAAGAGTAGCGATTCTGGTACCAAACTAGGCCGAACAAAATGATTAATAAGCCGATTATGCTCATTTAAAAAACCGTGATTCAAAAAGTCATGGCTATTAATATTTAATTTATTTTAATTAATACCAATTTTAGTATGGATAGTTTTCGTGATAATAATATTGATGTTCGTATTGGTATGTATTGTATTCATGATACTGTGGTATTTGAGGAAAAAGAACCATGAGTCATCGCCACATCCGGCAGATCCGAGTCATGACGGTTAGTTCATGAAGTGTTGGAACTTCAGGTCCTTTATAGTTGACCACTCAAAAATTGAAAAAACTTGGATCAATTTTTATTTTTTTTTGTCCCCCTATTTTTTTGTTTTTATATTTTGCTTTTTTCTTGCTTTCTTCCCCCAAGCCAATATTTTTCCAACTAAATTATTGCTACCGGCAGATTGCCAGCAGTGGACTGACCATCACGCAGCACAGCACTGCCCGAAACAAGAGGAAAAACAGTCAGCTGCATAGTTCGAGAACTGTGCTATGACTTGTAGCTGTTCCAAGTACAATTATCCGAAAATTTTCTTAGAATTTATGCAGTAGCCTATGCGATCCGCTCTCCGCCAGGAAATATAAGTTCGCCATCTACCTAACGAGAAACAAATATGCATCCTCAATTCCACATTACTATGAATGCCAGGATAGCTTCAGTAATAAGCATGGTTTTCTGTGCCGCTAATCTTACACGTAGAGATCAACTATGTTAAGTCTTTAGTACAGGGGCCAAATTTTAGCGCTTAGTAACTGCCCACTGGCTTCTTAATGGTTACTTTTGAAAAAAAAGAGATAAGACATGAAAGTTAATTATCTAGATTCGTCATCACCTATTGTTTCGCAGCTGTATTATTCTCTCACTGATGCAGTTGACAATTCCTTCACATTTTTGGGCCGCTCTCATCTTGTAGCCGTTTGAGCCGATGTTTCCACTGCACAGACCTTTCCTGAGTTCTTTTAACATTGCGTAAGCGCCATACTGGAAAATCTAGTTTAGATTTATATTTTAACAGATTTACTTAAAATTTGGACTCATTCCTTAAAATATCAGTTTATTGAAGTTTACTACATTTTAGGTGATGGTGCAGGGCATGAACATCTGCCGCTAATTCCTGATGATAAAAGTAGGTTCCTGCAATGTTTTTATCGAAATCGGAGGAATTGTTGCTGAACTAAATGTACGCATAATTGTCGCCTTTAAGTGCAAGCCGTATGTTCAGACTTGTAGTTTTTTGGAAAAACAGCATATCTAGAATTTAATGACTCTTCCCAACATAGTGAAGGTGTCGAAATCTTTAAAGTGGTCTTTAAAAGAGGAAATTGCTGAGTTTTGGGGCTTACCTGTAACCAGAAAAATGTTGTATAAGCTGCGATTGTCTTCACTTCTTAAAACGAGTGAAATTCGGAGGCGGCTTCGAATCTCTTTTAACGTGTGAAGAAATTCAAAAACTCTAAACAAAAAAAGGAGAATAAATGCTTTACAGCATCGGAAATTATCAAGTCAACGGATCCACCGTACAAAATCAAGGATGAGTACATTTTACCGGAACCAGATCACCATCTCGGCAAGAATCAAGCCTTTGGTGCTCCATTATCCGCTGGTGTGCATCCAGTCACTTCATATGATGGAAAAAATTCAGGATTCGTAGCCGGTCAACAGAAATCAGCGCCTCAAGATTACAGAGTACGTCCCTAATGCGTATCTTCCTGTGCTTGTTGTTCCTTTATACTACTATAACTTGATAAAAGTTATGCTACCGTGCTACAGTAATGGGAGCCAATTTTTATGCGTTTTTGCTTATATGCAAATGCAAAAATGCATATTGCAATGACCGTGTGTTTGTGTCTGTGTGTGTGTGTTCGTCTGTCCGGGTATTTCAACTCGGCAACCAAAATTTTGCTAGTGGGTTCTCCGATCATGTGCCACCCCAGGACCGCGGCACCAACCTTTACGCAAGTCTGGGCGCAGCGTACGAGAGGGTAAAAGTTTTGGCGGGGAAATTGCTAACTCAGAAACGGGGAAAGCTAGAAAGCTGAAACTTTAAAATTATGTTCCCAGTCCACATAGAACTCAAAGATTTCAAATTCAGCCCCAGGGTATGTACAGTTCCCGTGTATGGCCCCGTAAGGCTTCCTGACGCAAAAATCAATAACTTAGAAACCAGGAAAGCTGGGAGGCTGAAATTTCCAGGGAATGTTCCAAGCACATGAGCAACTTAAAGTTAACAAATTCAGCCCCAAGCATGCGTGGCTCTCACGTACGGTCTCTTGAAATTTTTCGACGGGAAAATGGCTAACTCGGGAATCAGAAAAGCTGGGGGCTGGAATTTTAAAGGGATGTTCCCAGCCTAAACATAACTTGGAAATTCCAAACCCAGCCCCCAGCTATGCCCCCAGATCATGTGCGGCCCTGTGAAAGTCTTGGCGAGAAAACTGCTAACTCGGGAACCAGAAAAGCTGGAAAGCTGAGATTTTAGGAGAATATTCGCTTTCCAAATACAACTTAAGGTTTCAAATTTAGCTTCAATTTACGCGTGGTCCTCGACTACGGGTACTTAAATTTTTGACGGGGAAATTACTCATTAAACAGCTGGATCATTTTCAAAAAACGACCGCTAAACGGAAATTGTTTATTCCCTTTTATGCAAAATTTATGATTTACGGTATTGAGCGCATAAGGTAGGTGAGAAGAAACAACCGTCCATGCTGTTAACCTAATTACTTCAAGTTTGGTGCAGGACCCATGATTGCACCGGCTCGCCTGGTGCGTTCCTGCGTTTAGGATTAAGATCTCTCATTCCATCAGAACATACTAGTGGGTTTTGAGATTTTTGCTAATCATTTCCTGAAATGATAAAATTACCAATTCAGCGGTTCTTCCGACCACTGGACCAAAATCATGCTAGTTTACCAATTATGTAGCGTCTTAACAGTAAGTTGTTCCTCTCAGACCCTCTTCAACAGCTGGATAGAGATTAATTTTTAGCAATAAGGTGTTAAAGTCGGTAAAAGGTGCTGACTGGCAGTAAAAGGCAATAAATTCACTCCGAAATCCATTAGCAACAAAATATTCTTCCATAATTAATATTAATTTATCTTTGTGGGTGCTGCGTAGTTCACATGCTTGACAGTCGAGGATTAAATTCCGCTATAATGGGCCAACAAGTCTCTCTACGATTCATTCATTCATTTCTATGATAAACCGGTACTGGCACTTATATCGGAGGGTCAAAACCGCCATCAGCTTGCTTGTAAGCAGCCCTCACAAGAGTGGGAGCTATCTGCAACCTTGGCAGTAGACGGTTGCTTTTGGGGTTTGCTACCACCCGAGCTATTTGCCGAGTGCTTCCGCTGCCCATAGGGAATTGCAGGGCAAGGTTGTGACATAGGCTAATAATAGATTCTGGCTTCTGAAAAGTCACATTTTTTTTTGATAAAAATGGTATTTCTACAAACGTACGATATTACTCAGTTTATGATAATTGCGTTTTTGTTTAATGTCGTTTTGACGCTGTGAATTTATCAACTTTCTTCATTAGCTTTGCTTTATCATGTGTTTTTTTTAAAAATTTAATATCGGTAGTGGTATATATCAAAGTATCAAACCCACCATAAGCTTGCTCGTGGACAAAATTTAGATGGGAAAACCACTGTCAGCTGGTGGTTGGTGTTGGCATTTGCTACCACTGGGCGACTTTGGAGTGCTCCCATCTCACAGTGAACACGAAGAAGGATTTGATTTGGATATATCATGGCAAACTTTTGTAAAAATGCATCCCTGCATCCACTTTCCGCTGCATGCCACTACATATCTGCTTCTTGTTAAGAATAAATTTAACTTTGAGGTATTGGAAGTATTTCGAAAGAATTTCAACTACATCTTGAGTTAAGTTAAAGTCTAAGGTAAATGAGTGCATAGTGGTCAATTTATCAGCTGCTGCATGTAGAAATTCTGGGTAAATGGTTCAGTGGACAATTCACAGTGAGCACCCATCCACAGGGACTGGGCTTCGAAAACAGCTGTAGAAACCTGTGAATGCTGGCTCCTTCTCATTCGTAGGTTTCGATTGGTAGCAGTGTTAGTGGCGCAACATCATATTTCACTGCTTATACATCATTTGATAGCGATGATAAGGATGATGATGATGATGCTACCATTGTTAATGAAGACTTAGCGCATGCCCCTCAGGCATCCGATGAAGACTTTGATACTGATGAGATGTTGCTGAGCTCTGATGAAGTGGATACACCAAGCCCGAAGCGAGAGGACGAGTAAGCCACACGCTTTTAACTTTTTGAATTTTTTAGCTTTTATGCGTTTTCGCATATACGCAAATGCAAAAATAATTATTGTGACGGCCGCGGTATGCGTGTGTATGTATGTGTTTGTATGTATGAGTGTGCGTCTATCCAGGTATTTCAACTCGGCAACCAGGCAAGCTCTGGCGCCAGAATTTTGCCAATGAGTATCCTGGCCAAGTACCACTCCAGGACCGCGGCACTAACCACCTACGCACGGCCACATGAAAGTTTTGGCTGGAAAACCGCTAACTCAGGAACCAGAAAAGCCGGAAGACTAAAATTTTCAGAGGATGTTCCTCGCCCGCATAGAAATTAAAAATTTCAAATGCAGCCTCTACTTCTTGCCTTCCCTCTGCCCTCTTCTCCTCCGTCACTCCCTCCGGTTTTCTTCCTCCCCACCCTCTCCCCCTTAACCTCCTCCCAGTTTCCCAGTAGAGGCTGAGGAGATCATCCCCCCATCCTCCCCCATTTGCATGGTTCTCACGTATGGTCCAGCGAAAGTTTTTGGAAGAAAATCGCTAGCCCGGGAACCAGAAAGGCTGAAATTTTGAGGGAATGCTCTCCGTTCACGTAGAACTCAAGGATTTCAAATTCAGGCTCCAAATTTGTGGCACTGCGAATGTTTTTGGCGGGAAAATCGCTAGCTCGAGGATCAGAAAAGTCCCACTCTGTCGGCTGCTTTTGGGCGCCAGTGCCTCTTATAAAGAGTAAAATATTGAAGGATAGGGTGGAAATGAGAAGGGGAGAGAAGAGGAACAATTGACACTGAAATCTGTGAAATGCTGGGCTTTTCATTTGTTCGGGCTTTTTTTAACTTTTTAAAGCTCTGAGTTTTCTCTAACCTGTTTGCAAAAAATGTTGCGAAAAACTACAGTCATAAATCTCTAGGTCTTTTCAATTGAATTTAATACAGCTTGTTGTACGCCCTCTTCCCCCTCCGCCAGATGATTTTGGGACCAACAAATGTAAAATGGAGGAGAACTCTTTCGTTTGTCACTTCGTCTTGAATAAATGGGCTGTTCAGACGACTGAATGACCGCTCCAATTTCAGTCATCAGCTGAGCCACAGTACGCTTGAAAAGATGTCATCATTCAAAGGCGGCGATCCAACTGCTCCGCATGATTCGCCGTTGTATAAGCCACCAGTGCAAAAGAAGCCAAAGCCAGTACCGTTACCACGTTCGCCTGTTGTATAACCTAGTAAGACAACATTGTTTTTCAGCTCACGTTTGTTCCATCTGAGACCAAAATCACCCTTGCAATTGATGTGGAATCCCACGGCGTTTCTAGGGTGCATTCACGTTATGCGCGCCATCGGGCCAGGCCTTCTGTTTGCTGCATCTATCATCCACCGCCTGTTTGATTATGTATGCGACTTTTTCGGGCACTTATCTGTCTTCTCGCAAGTATTACTCACTGATCATTATTCACAAATATTATTCACCGGCGCACTGCTACAGATCAGTTTTGAAAATATTTTCCTTGCTTGTTAGTGGCAATTGATCGAAATCATGCATATTCATTGCCATTTCCGGCCTAGAATAGTGCAATATAAAAAAAAAAACAAATCAATAATTACAAATTACTGCAAATTATTTCTGCTTTTCTCACAAATAGGGACCCGTAGAGTATCCTTGTGGGATAATGAACGAGAGAGACCTCAAACAGAAAATAGCGAAGCTGCCAACAGTAAGAGCGACGAGAAGAAACGCGACGATGAAACTACGGCAAATTGAATAAACTTTTCAAAGCAGAAACTGCCAGTAAACTGCTATCACTAGTAAATATAAGTATCAATTATAATTAATCAACACTTTGTATGTCCAAATATTACGTGCACTGTGCGGTGGTGCAACAAAAAATATGGAAATAAAAGCGAAAAAGAAATAGTTAATACAAGTTGGACAAGCCAATTTCCCTAACGCGCATGCAAGCAGTGCATGAGAATTAGATAATCACAACTTCTTTCAGTGAAACCACAACTTTTTCAAGAAACTAATTACAACTTAATCACAACTTTTTCAGCAGTTCGAAATTTTTATCGTGTAAAATACACTTTTATTACTTTTTTCGAATATTTTTTAACAAATTTTTAAGCTTTAAATTGTAAATTAAAATTTTAGCCATAATGATACAAAGTGTCAAAGTAATATCAATTTTCTAAAAAAAATATGCTGCACTTGAAGAAGGCCTCTTCAATTTCCCATTTTAGGCTAATTTTATATAAACAACACTTCACCGGCAAAGTTTTGAAAACATACCTCTTCAAACTGCTGATAATTTGGGAAGAAGTTGCAACAGGATCAGTACAGTGGGGATATGAGAAATTTGAGATTCGCACCAATGTGAACAATTGCAAACAAATTAGCAAAAGGAGCCTGCAAAATATGCTCA